CGTGAGAGACGCTGCATCCGTCTCGCAACGAGAGAGAGAGAGAGAGAGATGCCTGGACTGTCCGACGGGACTTTTGGTGCGTCTCATTTGGCGGGCGCCCATCAGCTGAGGCCAATTCGTGGGAAGAGGAAAAGTCCAGGCACAAAGCCATTTCATGCTGGAGGGAGGAACATCAGAGGTGTAGTGGAATTGGTAGGTTCTGGCGTCCCAGCTTTGGCAGTTGGTTGATAGCATACGTATGAGCGACCACTTTTAATGTATTCTGTACTGTTACTAAAGTAGTCTACGGCATGCCCTATTTGTTGTCCAACATCAGATTTCGCTGATGAACGACATAGGGCCCCCACATAAACGAGATACATTTTATTACCTTTGAACTTTCAATTACGCTTTTAAAATAGTCTAAACATGTCTAAACGTGATACTGTGCTTTGCTACTAAATGAGATACGGTGACATGACCTCCTACTTAAGTAGTCTATATAAACGAGATAGGGGCCCGCACAGTGGCCCCCACATAATAGATAGCAGTGTATGATGGTGACAATTATGTACATATTTTATCATATTTTACATGTATATACATGACGTGTATATTGCGCTCATTGAGGAAAAGAGGAAGTTCGCCAGAACATGCCAGAATCTGCTTGTAAGAATGCCAATCGCTATGTTTTTTGGCTTCGGGAGGTCAGCGCAAAGCAGCACCCTGTGGCACGTCCCGGCTCGTGTCCTGTTCCGCCAGGCGGAGTGCGAAAGCTTCCACTGCTGGGGAAGCCCAGAATCTAATCCGAGACACGCAACAAGTTGTTTATGTTTTGCTGGATGTCAGTCACGTTCTCGGGTGCCGGGCGCAGGGGCGTTGTTGGGCGGTGTCCGACGGTGTCGCACAGCACTGGAGACCGCCGTGAAAAAGGTCGAAGCAGCTGGGCTCTAAACAGCGAGGCGGATGCCGGTTCTGGGTCCTTGCTGGTTTTGGTCTTAAACATGGACGGTCGACGCGCGGCTGCAGAGAGACGTGGCCTGCGAAAAAACCGGGCCCTGCCGAGGCTGCGTTGCCGGGCTTGGTGATTTTCCAACGGCCGTTGCCCAGCAGCTGGACTGAAGGTTCTGAGATGATGGTGGGTGGTTGACTTGGTGGTGGTGGTGGTGGCGGTGTCCCAAACATCGTGGTGGGATCGATGCGTCAAAATGTTGACAGTGTTTTGTTTTAGGTCACAGCTGCTTGGCTTGCCCTCGGCACTCAGAATGTGACATGGCTGGATGTTTCACCAAACCCCTAGGCCTCCAAGTACCTCCTCAGAAGGTGTTTGGGCCCTCCAAACCCACCCCAAACACCTTCTCAGAAGGTACTTGGAGGCCTAGGGACGTATTCTCCATAGTTCGTATCGCCTATCTCTTTTGTGAACAAGACTCCTCGAGTGTGCAAACCCAGCCCCGGCTTCGCGCGGCCCCCTGCATGCGCCGCTCACTGGTGGCCGAGGTAACCATCAGCGCCGAAAGGCTTTGTTGATTGGTGTGAACTACCTGAACTCCCAGGCACCGCTGAAGGCAGGGACGGACGGCGCGAGAGGCACGTCTTTGGGGCGCCTGCGAAAAGCCGGCTGGCCTGCTTTTTGAAGCAGGAGATTCTCGAGCAAAGTACAGAGAAACTCAGGTTCATGAATATATATTCATGAATTCTTGAGGTCAGACTCGGTCGGCCTAACCAATTGGGTAGGTGCTGGTAACGCCTCCAGGCGCCTGTGCCTGATATGTAATAACCTCCAATAATGCAGTATCTAGTGCGCTTGATATATGACTTTGTCCTTCTGTGAGCTACAGGTGTGTTGGGGGGGGGGGGGGGGGGGGGGGCGTGGTTTCGTTCGGTTCGTCGATTCGTTCGTTTTCGTGCGTTTTCGTCCGTTCTCCTTCGTTTTCGTTTGATTACGGGACGCGGTGCATCGATGCTGCTTGGGGAAGCCTGAAGCGCTTCATGCCGAAGCAGGTAAAAAGAAAAGGAAAAATGAAAGGCGTCAGCTGCATGAATGCAACGTTGGAACGCCGTGTGTACCAATGGCTCTGGCGCAAAAACCTCAGAGCTGATGGAGATGTCACGGGACAAGAGTTCCTGGTGCACTTGTCGAAGGCTTGCCGCTGGAAGTGAAAAGCAGCGTATGGCGGTTTTCCCGCTGAGCACTTTGGTGAAAGAATTGACCAATTGGGACCGTTTGAAAACCGACAGAGCAGACTATGGCTTTTTTAAGAGAGAATGTCACAGCTTTCATGCCATGTTGCTACAAAGAGAACTTACACCAAGACTGAGTCCAATCAGTTCGTGGAAGGGAGTCCTTCTCTCTGAGCATTGTGTCTCATGCTTAAGATGATTGATCCCAATTTATCTGATTGCTGATGGAAACAAACTCTTATTACTCAGGTACTTGAAATAACAAAAACTAATGTCCAAATTGACGACCCCATTTTTACTCAATTTTCTTGAAATGGTCCTCCTCAGGGGGTTTCAGGAGAGATGTAACACGCCACCCACAGGCGCCAGAAGGCGTCGTCACCTGGGTAGGTATTTCCATGTATTTCCCCACCTGCCAGGTGAGGGTGGTTAGATGTTATAAGAGCACTCCGCCACTCAGGCCACGTTTGTCAGGATAGTTTGTCAATACATGTGCCCTGCCTTCTTTCCAATTGCCTCTTGCGCAGTCGGAATATAGTACTTTTTAGACCCTCAGTTGTGCGCAATCATTGAAAGCCTTGATCATCCTCGGCCAAACTTCCAGAACAGTTCACCACCAAAAGACGAGGTATATCCAGTGACGATGGCTGTTGAACCCTGAGTAGAAGCTGGGCCATTTTCAGAGCGCCCCCCCCACTTGCAAGCCGACCAGGGATGTGTGAACGACATTTGGAACCTGCAATGCTTGATGCGGCATACCCTCAGGCGGGCTGTGCACTTGAGGCACACCATGGCATGCCACTTGTGGGACAGGTAGAATATTATACAGGGGCGTGACGAACTGCAGTGGTAATTGGGATTGGCTGGGGTGGACTGCCAGGTTTTGCTGCTGGGATAATAGTATGGATGGGGTTCCTCCATGTTCCTCCCAAGAAAAAGGCACATTTCCGACTCTACTCTTGATCGCAAACGTCGGAAGCTTAGGTAGTGTTCCCCCGCAGATATCTGCTCCATGGCGTTGCACGTGTGCAGGTCAGGGTTAGATGAGTCACGGTAAGATTTGTGTTAACACTCAAAGAATACAGTCAACATGCTAACCAGCGTCCTGAATTCCCATGGTTTCCGAGTAGATGGTGCAATCCCCCAAAAGCTGGTTTGGAAAGACCCCATGTAAAGGACATTTTGAGGTGTGTGCCATCTACTCTGCAACCGTATTTGCTCGTGGATCGTGCTGCCCGTTGCGCGTTTTCGCTACGCATCGCTTGCCATCGCGGTTGGGAGGTACACACCGGAACAGATGCAGATCCTCGCAGATGGCTTTGATGGACCCCCGAGGTGGAATCCGAATCAGCTGGAAAGTTTGGAGATGTTTCTCCTCTACCCACTCCCAGGCTCCCAGGTTACGAAAGCCAGCCTTCGTAGAAGGCGCCAGCTGAGTTGTGCTTGGCGAACGAAGTGAGTAGTTAGGGGGTCGCCCGCAAAAGGTACACGTAAACTCGGCACATGCTGGGGGAGGAGGGTGCACGGATGGAAGGTTTTTTGAGGTTGTGTTGGAGGTTATTTTTGAGGGGTGGTGATGCAAGAAATGCAATTTGCATCATTTGCATCATCTGAATGGTAAGGTGTAGTTGGCACCTTGCCAGGTATAGATACCCAGGGTAGCTATAGTGCAGTTACCAGGTATAGTACTTCAAGTACCCTTTCCATCAACCGTTCGATAACCGCTACACACGCGCAATCCGCAGCTTTGAAGTCTCATGCGCGCGATACCTGGGAACAGAATTGTAGCTACCCTGGTCCGTATAAATGCTATGTTGCTATACCTCTTACACACCTATATAAGTTCAAAGCACGAAGGAGACTTCAAAGCTGTGGTTTGCTGTGCATGTGTAAAGGTTATCGAGCGGTTGACGGAAAGGGAACTGGAAGTACTATACCTGGCAACTGAATTGTAGCTACCCTGGGTATCTATACCTGGCAAGGCGCCAGTTGAGTAAGAAGGGGGGTTTGGGGGGGTGGCCTGAGAAAGCACACTCGAAAGTAGGTGGTGTGTAGGGGTGCACTGAAGCAAGGTTTTGGAGGTGCTTTTTGGTGATTTAATTTAAGAAATGCAATTGTCTTCGGTGGTTTGCAGTGCTATACTTGGCAACTGAATTGTAGCTACCCTGGGTACACCTGGCAACTGCCTTGTAGCTGCCCTGGGTCCGCGCGCGCGCGCCTAAATCACGGGCAGCCGGGAGCCAGCAAGGCGCGCGCGCGCTGACCCAGGGTAGGGAAATTGAAGTGGGATACCTGGCAACAGAATTGTAGCTACCCTGGATCCGTAAAAAATGCTATGTTGCTATACCTCTTACACACCTATATAAGTTCAATGCAAGAATGGGACTTCAAAGCTGTGGATTGCTGTGCGTGTGTAAAGGTTATCGAGCGGTTGACGGAAAGGGAACTTGAAGTACTATACCTGGTAACTGAATTGTAGTTACCCTGGGTATCTATACCTGCGCCAGCTGAGTAAGAAGGGGGGTTCGGGGGGGTGGCCTGAGAAAGCACACTCGAAAGTAAAAACGCTGGCTTTGGTTTTGCAGCTTCTCAGGTAGTACTAAGCTCGTACTAACTACTGCTGCTGCTACTGGTAGGCTTGAAAGGTGTTATTTGTGGTGAGATTTGGGGATCTTGCAATGCCAAGATGTGTGAAGAAGTGGTGGAACCAGGGAGGTGATTTGGCATGAAATTCCTGAGTTCCAATGCTGCTCTTCATCCTCCAAACAGATGTTTTCGCGTTGAACATGGGTGTCGAGTTCAACTTTCAAAAAATTGGCGCCGCTTGTTTCCAGAGTTTTGGGGAAACTGTGCAGATATAGCGACCGGTTGCTGCTTTTATCGAGCTGCCCTCTTTTAATGCGTGAGTAATAATTACTACGGGTAGATCATGATAGACAAACCCCATCCACACATCAGATTGAATCAAGTGGAACTTTCCTTGTGTATGGACTCAGCGCCCTCCACAAGGTCAATTGAGACTCTAGAGGGCCCATGGCCGCCCCTCTCGCCGCACAGACCACCGGCATCAAACAATTAGGAACCGTTTGTCCGGCCTCCCCAAGCTGTGGTGGGGTAAAGCTGAGCCTGGACAGGTCACTGCCTGTGTTTTGTCTCTTCGAAAGGGGTAGACAACTCACAACTCCGTAGACAAGTACAATAGATAAGACACATTTTTGGTGGGCGCATGTATGGATTGTTGAAACAACATGAAAGAATCTCATACTTTGGGTTGGGGTAATCTATTGCTGGAGCCGCCAGGCCGGAGAGGATGCCTACGAAAGCCAAGGTCTCAGAAAGAAAAAAGGAAGATACCCTACAGTTCCAGTAAAAACTTGTGTTTTAACTCCTTTTGTACTGGTTTTGTATGACCATGAGGTCCTTGACTTGTAGGGATACTTCAGGAATCCTGGCCCCAGAGCGGGCCAAACATTGCCCCCAAACCAAGGAGAGAGACTTGGAGCAACAACCAGTTTGTCCATGTTTTTCCCGAACAACTGGTGTTTCGCTGAGGAACTTAGACTACTAAACCAGGTCGACCTTTCTTTGAATGGCCTTGGAAGGCTGGGGCTATAGGGAGTATGTGATGTTGGTTCGTCAGGGAGAGACCATCGAACAGGAACGTGTTTCTCAGGAGACTCGACGGGAGACGGCACAAGCGAATCGTGAGGTCAATGAAGCTCCCCAGACCCCCCCCAGATGGGCCTGATCAAGGGTTTGGAATTGTTGGCCGAAAAAAACCTAGAGAGAGAAAGATAGAAAATAGAAAGGACATGGTAGAAAGTTATAGAAAGAATGACAGAACGATTGAATGGGTGTCTAAAATCAAGGGGTGTCCGGTACAACACATTATGTTGGGTAAAACACGTCGAATCCTAGGACTGGAAGCTCCAGGCACAGGTTGGTATGGACAAGGTTCTTGAATCGGTGTGCTACCAAAGCACATGAACTATATATTTTTAGAGGGGTGATGGGTGGCCTTGCACTGGGATCCTTACCTGCAGAACCGGCCTTTTTTTGGTGCCCCTCTGAGGCAGAGATTCGACAGACAACTGTTTCTTGAGAGTTCCAAGTGCACTCAGCAAAAGACGCGGAGCTGAGGCCAACATCATGGCTGCGAACTCAGTTCCGAAAGTGGTGGGCATCTTTGTTTTGTGGGAATGATGAAACGCGAAGGAACGTTGGAGAGACAAGTTGGAAGGGAAAGCTGGTGGTGTCTAAAGAGTAAATCGAGTCCCTTTGCCTTTACTGTATATTGGTTCTCGATGAAGCCTACTGTGCCAATTCCAGTGCTTGCTTACTTCTGCGAAGCCGCTGAGACATTTTGGCTACGAGCTCAGCTCCTCTTGAATCAGAAAAGGAACAAGACAGGAGTGAGCATGCCCAACAGATTCGTGGCATTTGTGTGCGCGTCAGGAAGTACTGAGTTATATACTTGGTCGGTGAACATAAAATATTGTATAGTATCAGTATAGGGCAAGTTGCAGGCAATGATGTAGTAATGGCCTCGGACAATGCCACTTGCAACTGAAAAGAAGAGGTACACATACACCTCCGGCACACGTGCAAATAACAAAAGCTGAACACCCGACCACTGCAATGCAAAGTTCACATGTTTGGATCATGCCCTTTCCCATGTCTCATGTCATCTCATGTCTCATGTCATCTCGGGGGGCTGCATCGACCCACTCGGCTGCAGCGACAAAGCCAAAGCCGTCATGCCGTGCGTGGCCATCGGCGCGCGAGATGAAGAAGAGGAGGAGCAGGAGGTGAGTCCACCTCCACCACCGCCACCCGGCTAGAAACTAAATAACTTAGGGTTCTTGGATGGGTAATTGGAGCTTTCTGGATGTTTCTTTTTTTTTCCAGGGTGTTCAGGTTGTTTACCTGCTGGTATGTGTTGGTTGGATGTACACGTGGAATTGTGGTTACTTCATAAACAGTGTACATAATGGAGTCCCTTGATAATATCTTGATATATATATATATACATACATATAATAGACTATAATAGTGTCATTGGTCAATGATTGAATGGCCATAGATGGCCATGGCCATGTGTTGTTGATCATTGTTATTGTTTTGGTGATTTTTGGTGTATGACTTTGTGTGTCTTTTTTCCGCCACCTTATTTGTTGTGCCTGTTTTTTGGCCTGCGGAGACAAGATCTTCTGAATTCAACTTGTGAAAATCAACACGGGTGGCCATTTCTCATTTGATGGACAGGGTCATGAATTCCCTTCAGCCACTGCTGAACATGCTGAACTGCATCTCCAATCGTCCGGTGTCGCTGGACGTGCCGTTTTGGACACAAGATGTGGGGCTTCGCCGGAGCCATACCGGCCATGGGGTGCCGACATCCTTAGGGCCACCGATGTCGGTCCAAAGACTTTGGATGTTCGATTAGCTTTGATTGTCCTTTGTTTTCGCGACTCGCGACGAGGAAAATGAACAACCATCGTACGACGATGTCACTTCTATGAAGATGTTGGAGCCAGGGTACTTTGAGGCTACCTACCTTTGTGTGCATTAGAACAGGGAGAGGGGAATTGGATGGCATGGCCCCTGGGAAACCTATGTGAATCTACCAAACATGTGGTGCCATCCAAAGTCTCTAGACTCCAGCATCGCTGTAGCCGAACGGCCCATCTAGGCCAGAATAACATCGGTGTTTCAGGGAGTGTATGTCTTTTCCACTTCCATGATTCTTTTTTTGCCTCCAGAGGCTCGGGGTTTCCTGAGACCCACTTGCCACGGCTAAACAAAAGCGCTTTTTGAGGCCTCCAGCTATGCGCAAGGTCTTGTTTGTCGATGTGGACCATGCACTTCGTCAAGCCTGTGACAGTGGGGATCGAATGATGACTCGTCCGGCGCGGACAGACGTGCGGTTGGGAGCGTGGGAGCGTGGTTTGTTTTCGGAGCCGGGGGGGTGGGAGGATTCAATTGAGCAATGGTTCTTTTTGGAGCCGGGCATGTTCCATGAACTTAGCGAATTCTGTAGACAGCCCTTTAAGCTTCAAGGGTTGAAAGAAATACTGCATTGAACAGTTCCAAATGGTTCGCTTGCATCGTTACTGTCAGCTACTATGCCCAGTTGTCCTGCAATTAATAACTTGCAGCTTGACTTGCCCTACTTCCACATTCTATTTGCTCCAGGATGGTGAGAGTGTATCTCCCTCCCAACATAATGCAAGCCCTGAATGTGTTCCCACCATGATGTCACTTTACGCACTTACGCATGATTTTCTAACTGCGTGGGTTGCGTACTCGGTTCGGGGGGGAGATGGGTCTCGTCACAAGATGGGTTTGGGGGTGCACCCATGTGGTATCATGTGGTAATGGCTGCCCCAACTTCCATGCTTGAACTTCTGTGCAGCTCCCGGAAAGAAAAAAAAACACGTCATGCCCCCCCTCCCCTCTTTCAGGACCTTTTTTTAAGTGGGGCCGGGGTTGGTCTAAGTCTATGATCTCATTGTAGCTGGGAACGCTTCATGGCGGTTTCAGGCACTGTTCTGAGCCCTGCAAAATGCAATGCCTTCAGGACTTAAACATCCCATGTCATTCCACTTGGTGTTTTATTTGTTGTCTTATGTCTTTTGTTGTCTTTTTAATCGAATCATGTTTAGCAAACCTTTATGTGTCTCAACCCCTAATCTTTGGCGCCCTAGTGTATCCCTGGTCATCATGGGGATTCTTGGACCAAATGGCCATGAGAAGGCAGATGTTTCAGCCTTCTCACCTAGGCTTCTCTGTTGTTCTCCCTTGTGGGAACCCGAGGGTTCCCCGGCCTCGGACACGTGACTTAGCTAAGAGATGCCGGAACCCTACGCCACAGAGCGCTAGAGATCATCCGGTGGACGGACCTGTGCAGTTCAACCGCCAGACGCGAATTGGACAGACGTGGCGCCATGAGGTGCGCGGAATTTCGGGTCAATGTACACGGAACCCCCAAAAACAAGTGCACGAAAGATTGTTGTCCAACGAAGATCCAGGTGTATTTGTACTATAATATATATATATATGTGATTTGATGTCCAATCATGTCATAATATATTATATATCATTCACGTGACATCAGATCTTCGCCCCCATCCCAAGGCACCTGTCCGTCGCACCCCACCGACCGTTCCCGAACCGGCCGAGCGAGTGCGCGACGCCGGCGCTCCGAGGTGTTGAACTCCACACCGGATCCCCGTGCCATCCGACTCGAAGAGGCGCGATTCCGCTGGTGGTTACGACCGTTAAGACGAAACGAAAGGAAGGTCGAAGACAGGGTGGGTGGCTGGGTGGAAGAGTGGGGGTAGGGGAGGTTTTTAGGTGGGTGGCTGGAGGGTTTTGGAGGGAGTTGGGGCATGAGTGGGTTGGGGGGGCATGAGTTCGCTAGAGCTTGGGTGTGGGTTTGTTTGAGATGAAGGCTGTCTTTGGCATTTGGAGCCCTGTTGCCACCTCTGGGTGTCCCTGCGAAGAGGTTCTCCCCCGACGGCTCATCACGCGACGCCCAAGGAACCTTGTGCCCTGCTTCAGCAGCTGCTGAAACGGACTGGAGCCCATTTGGTGCTCACCAGCCACTGGAGGCGACACCAGGCAGCTGAACCCGGCCGCATGCGCGCGAATGCGTGCACTAAACACCCACCAGCTATGTTTTTTCTGGGTTTGTTTGGATCAACAAGTTCGGAGGCCACCCGTCTCCAGGCGTCACTGAACAGGTTATAACATGTATAATGACGGTCACCTCACGGCCGGAATCAGGACCCTATATACTTACCCCAGACTCAGACACTTCATGTATGGCATATTTGCCGATCAGTGGGGGTGGTTTGGGGGGTCAATGTAATGTTATGGCCCCCATGGAGTGTTTGGGTACGTCACGAACCTGCACAGCCTTTGTCGCGAGGCCTATTTGCTCGAGATCTTAGCCAACTACGGGGTCACACCACCTCCACGACACGTGGACGTGACACCCTTCAACGCTGACAGCAGCAGGAGAGACGCGAGGGTCAACGGGTCAACGGCAGTGTTTGGAGGGTGGGAGTTCAACAAATTCAGATTTGGTGCAGAGAATGAATCGAAGTGGGTCAACATTCATGACACTCAGAAAATCAGAAAGCTAGAAGGTGCTGTTGTGTTGATTCATGTGTGTCCCAATCCAATGTCCTGCATATAGGAATTGAACCATATTGCACCATTTGAGTTGTTTGGACCACCAACTACTGCCTGAGGAATGCAAAGACCGAGCGCTTGTTCATTAACATGGTTACTAAATGTTACTAATATTGTGTTTACTTTTTGGCATGGTGACACCTGCATCAAAATCTGTTGAAAGGAAGAGGCTTCAGATCTGTGAGTTTGCGCTATGTAAGCCCATGAGTGTGCATGTGTCCCGAGTACAGCGGATGCAGTGAGCACGCAGACAATACTTAAACAATCTCAAACGTAAGATAGATGGGATGCGTGAACAACAGGAAATGCAACGCACTGCTGGGCAGGAGAGACCTAGAGATTTTGCAGTGGCTCAACACCAACCGGAAGGAGGTCAAAGGGCAGGGGGGAGGAAATGGGAGGAGGACGAGCCAAAAAAGGGATAACACCGGGAGTTCCAAGTTGGGGGGGTGTTTATCTCTATAATTATGGTGAATGTGAATGGACCATGGGCACCATTGGGCACCCTGAACCCAGGAGATCGATGTTGCCTTAAGTAAGGCCGACTGGTCGATGTGAAACTGCCCAGTCACATGGTGAGAGTGTGTGCCGCGGACGCTAAGGTGGATCAGATTGGAAGTGGTCTAGATCAGTAATGTTTTGTTTGAATGAAAAATTGAAATAATTTTAAAAACATGAAATAAATATAAATATAAATCTACAAAAATCTTTTGAAATCTTTTAAATCTTTATAAATCTTTAAAAAAATCTTAAACAATCTCAAAAGATCTCAAATCATCTCACAAGCGGGGGTTTCGTGGGAAAGGGTTTCGGAATTAAAAAATAATTTCCCAGGATCAAAATCTTTTAAAAAAAAATCGTAAGAAATCTTAAACGTGCATAAAACATGCAAAAATATGAAAAAAAACTGACAAAAATACTAAAAAAGGTCTAAAAAATACAACACGATAAAA